CTTTTTCTTCCTATAAACATATTTACGTATACCCATCTGTATCTTTCCCTTCCTATATGGCGTCCTGGCTTTGCTTGGTAGTTAAGGCGTTCGACTTGCAATGTGAGAGTAATGGATTCGAATCCCCATCAACAAACATGCTCGCCCTTTTCACTGTGGAGGCATTATAATGTGACGGTCAAATCCACTATTCGTTGGTAAAGGAGTAGTCCAAGGGTTGCCGATGGGTGGAGTTGACCACCTGCCTTCCCTCTAGTCTGTCACTGTTAAATTAGGGACAAATAGTCCTCGTATAGCTTTGTGGGAAATCCTAAACAAAACAAATCCGTCCTTTGCCTGTATTTATGTATATCCATCCGTATCTTTTGTTTTTGTATGTATATTTATGCACAGCCAGTAGATATAGTTTAAATAACTGCGTTTATGGTTTGCTTTTTACGATAGTGTTGTACTTTCTATTTCTGAATGTAAGATATTTATATATAAATATATAATAAGTCTCATCATTTATTTATGCTTCTGTGACAGCTAAAAACAAAATATAAGCGATAGCGTAGTTCTATCTGCTTCTATTGTTTTCACTCTCAAATTTCGTGTTTTTACCACTGCCAAAAAGTGTTGTTAGAGCAAATATGAAACCGGACTATTTTTTAACCAAAAGCAAAAACTTCAGGGCTGTTCACGGAGTAAATGTAGATAACGTGAACATTTAACGTGATCAATGTGGATCATCGTGTTGGAGGTCATGCTAGTAATGTGCACTTAGCGTCTGTTTGTTTAGAATTTTCGCGCCAAACTACACGAGGGTTATCTGCGAATAGCCGAATCATTTTGAACTGATTAGAATAAAGCAAACTAGTCAACAGCGCCCAACACCGAATTTCGGCTCTCTTATCCGATCAAACAGTGGGGTTTGAATGTCAGTCTTATATCACATCCAAAGTGTGTTCCGCATCTATGCAGCAACGGAACGTGGACTCTGAACTTTCGGATTCACAGTCCGAGCACATAATAATCGTCGTCCGACTTATTAATTAGTCAGAAATAGATGGATAACCAAGGCTGTACTAAGCATGAATAACCAAGGCTGTACTAAGTATGGATAACCAAGGCTATGATAAACATGAATAACCAAGGCTGTACTAAGCATGGATAACCAAGGCTGTACTAAGTATTGATAACTAAGACTGTGATAAGCATGAATAACCAAGGCTGTACTAATCATGGATAACCAAGGCTGTGATAAGCATGAATAACCAAGGCTGTACTAAGCATGGATAACCAAGGCTGTACTAAGTATGGATACCAAGGTTGTACTGAGCATGGATAACCAAGGCTGTACTAAGCATGGATAACTAAGGCTGTACCGAGTATGGATAACCAAGGCTGTACTAAGCATGGTTACCAAGGTTGTACTGAGCATGGATAACCAAGGCTGTACTAAGCATGGATAACTAAGGCTGTACTGAGTATGGATAACCAAGGCTGTACTAAGCATGGTTACCAAGGTTGTACTGAGCATGGATAACCAAGGCTGTACTAAGCATGGATAACCAAGGCTTTACTAAGCATGGATAACCAAGGCTGTAATAAGCTCGGTTTTGATGTGAATTTCATTCATCATACTATTCATTCATAGACCGACCTTGTATAATTTGTACTGTAAAAATAGGGCCTACACGGAAAAAAAGGCAGTAAGCTGTATTTGGTTTCGTTAGAACCAAAACTGTATGCTCTATAATATATCCAAAAATCCGCTTTTTATATGCAAATTAGTTAAACTCGCTTTCTTTTTTTTACTTTTTTTTTTCTTGCACCCACGGGAATACAAAAATAGTTTACCATTGGTAAGTCTGATACCATGAATCGTCTTGAAAAGAGTAAAAATTAATTAAGTTATTTTGTGGAAATGTGCACGACTTTTTTTTTTTAATTATAGAAAAATAATGTTAGAGAATCTGCAAAATCAAAGAACAGCAAGTTGTAGAAGAGAAATGTGGTGGGGGAAGTCTTTCTTGTCTTCTAGCTCCAAAAATCGAGAAGGAGAGTTTGGACAAATGGAAAGGGTAAGAGGGATGGTACTGGATTTTCATAGCCTATATTTTTCTTGTTGTTGAAGTTACCCATAAGATTGCTCGACTTATGCAAATTCAAAGGCTTTTTTACTTCCTTGTTCAGTTTCGTGACTGGATTCATTTTGAAAAACTACTTTAACCTCCATGATTCTTTTTATTTTCTTTTTGACAGCAAGCAATGTATCATTTCAAAGGATAACCAAACAAACTTTCTTATGAAGAACAAGACAGTAGAAACAGACTTAAATCTTATAAATGTTCTTTAGATGTCTGCAATGGAATTCAAATAATGAAAAACTTATCTTCCACACTTTATAAATAAGCTATGAAGGGGGTTGGCTGCGGGTACATTAGATATGCAATGTGGCACAGAAAAAAAAAATTGTTAACTGAACTATAGGTTAAACAAGATTTACTCTAGTTGCCATACTGATTACATCATCAAATGAACATGGGCAACTAATAATTGACCAAAACTAAATTTTCAGAGTGGATTAGTGGTAGTCAACATTATCCAAAACTGAATGTTATCTTCACACGTTTCTATCTTTCAGGAATCCACCCTCAAACTCCCATACGTACTAAATCTTAAAGACCTCATGCGGTATACAGTTAATTAGATAATATGAATATATACATTTGTTTTTCACTAAAGCGAATTTTTGCGGATTTTGGATTCAATGCTCAAAATTTAGGTTCCAACGATACCGAAAACAGCTTGGTAACAATTTTTTTCTAGGTCTAGTACTTAAGTGATCATAATATATATACATATATATCTGTTTTCTGAAAAAAGAAACTTAACCTGCACTAAATCAATATAAAACACGATTGTCAAGTAACTAACGTGGGATCTAATAATATACAAATTATAAATAATAACACAAAATTAATGTATGAATCCTGTTGAATAACGTAGAATCAGAGAAAAATCAAATGTAGATGAATATCTCGATGCCAGACAATGTACGAACTCTAGAGAACAACGTGGAAACAGACAAGGAGAGAATCCTGGCGAATAACGTGGAATCAAAGTAGAATCCAAGGGAACACCAAGAAATGAAACAAAGAGCGAATCCTGTTGAATAATCCAGAACTAGACTAATGCTTGGAAGCTAGAAACATTATTTTCATAGAGAACAGCTTTTAACACTTGAACTGATTCTCTACATCTCTTTAGAAATATTGCAGTTTGCCTTATGAAAATGTCCGAAAGCTTTTTTTTCATTTTGTTCTTTTTTTCTATCACAGGTACTTCAACTCGAAAACAACTTAGTTCTTTACTGACAGATGAATAGACAGACAAACATTGAAAGTACATATATAGAAATTCGGATATGAAGAAAACAACCCAGATGTTCAGAAAAGAGGGAGTTACGAACGTATGGTGAGAGACAGAATTATTACAGAAATGTATTCATATCTATGATATCAATTAAGAGAACCACTTGATTTTCTTAATCCCAAAATTAATTTTGATCAAGAATATTAGAACATGTTTATCTTACCAGAAGTTATGAAATCCTTGAACTCCAATTCGTGACTTATTATTAGAAACATACTTCTAATGTTTAATTAGTGCTGACATTTACTAATGGTGTAACAATTTGGAGACTAAACTAGTCCGCTTATTGATCGAAGAACGTGTTTAACCTTATATCTAGCGTTAACTCTGAACTGACTGTTTCAATTATTTTGACCTAAAATATCTGTTGAAATGGGCCAATCAAATGAAACCAGTGGTTTACCAGGAAGCATTATGTATTTTCTGTAATATTACTGAACAGATCTCGCTTGTATGGCTTCGCGAATAGTTTAGTTGGGAACTGACAAGTGGTTTACCAGGAAGCATTATGTATTTTCTGTAATATTACTTGAACAGATCTCGCTGGTGTGACGTCACATACAGTTTAGTTGGGAACTGACAAGTGAGTTACCAGGAAACAGTATGTATTTTCTGTAATATTACATGAACAGATCTCGCTGGTGTGACGTCAGATACAGTTTAGCTGGGAACTGACAAGTGGTTTACCAGGAAGCATTATGTATTTTCTGTAATATTACTTGAACAGATCTCGCTTGTATGACTTCACGTACAGTTTAGTTGGGAACTGACAAGTGGTTTACCAGGAAGCATTATGTATTTTCTGTAATATTACTTGAACAGATCTCGCTTGTATGGCTTCGCGTACAGTTTAGTTGGGAACTGACAAGTGGTTTACCAGGAAGCATTATGTATTTTCTGTAATATTACTTGAACAGATCTCGCTTGTATGACTTCACGTACAGTTTAGTTGGGAACTGACAAGTGATTTATCAGGAAATATTATTTATTTTCTGTAATATTACTTGAACAGATCTAGTTGGTGTGACTTCACACTACAGTGTAATGAGCTCAGAAGAGACATATAAGTTACTAGGAAACCTGAAAATTGCAACAGGCTTAGTGTTTGAGAAAAGTGTTATCAGTGAATTATACTGAATGAAAAACTCTAAGCTGCTAAACTAAAGCTGATTGTAAGTCAGCAAAGCTCATGGCTTTTTTTCAAATCGCAAGCCTGTTCCAATTTCCGAATAATAGGAAATTACTTACTTACCTTTTGCTTAAAAATTACAAGAAACAAATTCTAATTCTTTACCTGAAACCAGAGGCGACGCTAGGTACTTAAAAAAATTCGGGGCTCAGGCCCATAGGCGCGGGCATTCTCGGCATTTCAGTATGACATCGATCATGGTTTTCTATTCTGATTTTTCAAGACACCAAATGAGGATTCGAGAGACTGTCAAGTAGAATTAAGGCACGGGCCCCGTGTGCCATTGCCTAGCGATGCCTCTGCTTAGAACAAGTGAACTACCCATAGAAAAATAGATACACTTACCTTACACTATAGCCTAGTGAACTGACCGTATCTCCTGCTACATTACCTGAGTTGAAACTAATATTCGATTTGCTTCACTATCAATGGCGTCATTCTTCTTAAAACAGTATCTACGAACTTTTGTCGATATGAATAAGCGTCACTGTTACCGCCCAACACTCCTCTCTTTTTTTTCTTCGCAGCTTTTAGTACATATTTGTTTACAAGACCATAACAAACCATTCAATCTCATCAAACAAAGCTATGCAGTGCTTATAATGAATCAAATATTGTCGCTCACTACTGATTTTAATGTATTCCATCTGACCAACCCAGCAACATGGCGTGGTTTACTTACACACTGCGTTTCAGTTCACTTATATGAATTGAATGAGAAGGCAGAATAAACAAGTCTTATCTTTCAACCTGACGTAGTACACAGATAACAGTTTTAACCAGCACATTGAAATCATTTTACAGAAGTACAAATGCAAAATGTGTACATAATTCACGTTCATAAAGTAATGGATTTGTTTAATGTAAAATAAATCAGTAATTTTTTTAACGAGATATGATAAAAAAGTGATTGTTCACGAGACTAAACTCTGAAAAGATTACTTATCTATTTGAAAGAAAGGAAATTAGTTATAGTTGATAATGCCGTGGAAGCACTGAGAAGAGTCCCTAGGTGGGACAGCGGTAAGTCTACGGCCTTTCAACGCTAAAATCCGGGGTTCGATTCCCTGAGGTGGACACAGCCGATAGCCCAATGTGGTTTTGCTTTAAAGCAAACAAACACAGCACCCAGACGAAAAGAAAAAAATCGAGTTACAGTTAGTGTATGATAATGCCGCGAAAGCACTCAGAAGAAACAAAATACAAAATCAGTTATAGTCGGTATGTGACAATGACATGTTTTAAAGGTGATGTATACCTGCAAGTGATATAAGTTTCTGAGGGTGAGATAAACGTACAAATAATAGTAAAACTTATTTTAGCTAATTCATGAATTATGATACGCATGCAAGCTGATTAACTACGATATTTTGCGTGCTGTTCATATTAAAGGTAGTTTCTTAATCAAAATGGTTTGAGAAAACTTACGTCACTAAACTTGTCTTGATTTGTTTTCTTTAATTTAAAACAAATGTTAGACACGAGTTTCAACGACTTACTGTACACTAAATCCTACGACTTACTAAACATTAAGTCCAACATACAACGTTTATCATCTAACTTGATATATAGTTCAACAGCTTATCAGATGTTATTTCAACTTAATCGACTTATCAGAAACAAAGACAAACGACTTATCAAACATACTGTTTATTAACTCACAACGCATCACATTCGAAGACTTACCAAATCCATGTACAGTTTCAGATTGTGATTGTGGATAACCTACAGGGACAGCCCGAAGACTTACCAAATCCATGTACAGTTTCAGATTGTGATTGTGGATAACCAACAGGGACAGTCCGAAGACTTACCAAATCAATGTACAGTTTCAGATTGTGATTGTGGATAACCAACAGGGACAGTCCGAAGTCTTACCAAATCCATGTAAAGTTTCAGATTGTGATTGTGGATAACCAACAGGGACAGTCCGAAGACTTACCAAATCCATGTACAGTTTCAGATTGTGATTGTGGATAACCTACAGGGACAGTCCGAAGACTTACCAAATCCATGTACAGTTTCAGATTGTGATTGTGGATAACCTATAGGGACAGTCCGAAGACTTACCAAATTCATGTACAGTTTCAGATTGTGTTTGTGGATAACCTACAGGGACAGTCTGAAATTCATTAGATTAAAAGTTAAAGCTTTTGTTGTTTTGCTTCTTAAAATAACCTGATTTGGATTCCATTATTCTTGTTAACCCTAATCCTCTGAATTTATACATTTATCATTTCATGAGCATGCTATAGAAGCTTGATTTCAAGTGTGAAAATTGTGATTTTCTTGAAAAACACTCTAATAGACGCGTTTCAAACGGAATCTACTTCAGCCAAACTTTCTTACAAACATAGCGTGTAACAACTGAACCATTATTATATGGTTAGAAATTAGTTGACGAAAATGATCTTTCCAGGTTATTGTAAGATATATGAAACGTTGTTGGAAATTATTGTAAATTTGTAATGCAACATAAACAAAATAAGCATAAATGTTACAGTTAATAAATAGCGTGATTTCAATAATACAAAATAATGATTCACTGTATAAAGAAAAATAAAAGCTGATAATATTTTGTGGAGTCCAAAAGATCACTAAATGTTAAATAGGAATGATTTTCTCTTGCGCAACAATGGAGAAGGTACATCCGTAGATATTCTATACATATTTCAAACATTTTGCTCGTAACGAAAGTAGCGCCATCTCTAGATTTGTTTCTTGCTTCTCTTCGGAAAGTAGCAGGAAGTACGTTATTGTGATTAGATGACGAAGCACTTTACAAACTGTCTACCTGATAATGTTTAATTTTATTGGTATCACATTTTGTTCTTATAATCGGTGGACTGTTTTTATAATCGGTGGACTGTTTTTATAATCGGTGGACTGTTTTTATAATCGGTGGACTGTTCTTATAATTGGTGGACTGTTTTTATAATCGGTGGACTGTTCTTATAATTGGTGGACTGTTTTCATAATCGGTGGACTGTTTTTATAATCGGTGGACTGTTTTTATAATCGGTGAACTGTTCTTATAATTGGTGGACTGTTTTTATAATTGGTGGACTGTTTTTATAATCGGTGGACTGTTTTTATAATCGGTGGACTGTTTTTATAATCGGTGGACTGTTTTTACTGACAAACATTCCCTAGATTTTCCTATTTGTATTTCCATAAAACAAAAATTAAGCTTCATCTTATCAGACGTGCAGATTATCATACTATAAGTAGGACCGGATTAGGGGAATAAGGGAAAAATACAAAATTTGATATTTTATTGAAAAACATATGTTTGTAGCAGAGTCACTATGACGACAGTGACTTTATTCATTTCACAAACACCTATTATTTTAGTAATTATTCAATGAAAAATTACCAAAATAATAGGTGTTCTTTCATAAACATTTGCTCCGCCATTTAACAAAAACATTTATTGTCATTATTTTATATTTATTAGATATATTAAAATTATTATCTGCTCATCGCTTGAAATGGAGGCTGCTTCGTAAAAGCACAATATAATTCGTAGCGCCTTTTCGAGGAACTCTTGTGCTGGTTGTTTATGTTGAACAACATAAAAAGTTTATGATGACATTAAAAGTTTCTGTTAAGATCAGTAAATATGTGTCGATTATTTCCGTGTACGTACAACGCTGATGCTAAAAATATTAATCTGTGAGGGTTCCCCTACAAAATTTGCCAAGGATTCCCAAGTCTTTAATCTGGGTTTGACTATAAGTTATAGCACGTATTGTAGCCAATGCTAAGCCATATAAACTAATCCAGTGCTAGTTTTGTTTACTACAATGGTGCCATACCGTACAGTATTACATTGTTTCATTCGTCACGAATGTGACCACGGTAGCTCATGAATTACACGTTCAGTAATTACAAAAAATTAGTTTTGATTGCGTGTTAGAAAATAAATTTCGAACCCGGTTTTTATTTTCATTATTGTTAAGGCCACATAACGTTCTACACCTGAAATTTAAAAAGGAAAATTTATTTTGGTGACTGAGGTAAGACATCTTAATTCAGATTTTAAGAGCCATTTTACTATCAGCTTTGTACTACTTTTTCAAAAATGTTGAAGAACGATCCTTCCAAATGCGCGGCTAGTGAATCTTTTAGCTGTGTTACGTCTCCGTTTGTTAATTAACTTTCCGTAACTTCGATTCGACGAAACTTTAGCAACACAAGTCCTTACTTAATAAAACTGGTTTATTCTTTCCGAATACAACTTTACGATACACTTATTTTCAACATTCGCGCTATAACAAACACTATAACGAACGAACGTTAACTTCAACAATACCCTGTGACTGCAGTTCAATTACTCACTATCTACACACACATTATTCCCTTCTTATTATTGTCCCGTCACGTTGTCACCCTCTTTTATATACCAGACTACCCTATATCTAGTAAATGCTAGAGCATTCGCCAAAGTACGGGATAGTTCTAGAAACGTGGCGTCACACTAGTCATGTGACTCGCTGACGCAACAGCTGGTTGAACACAGTTATCAATGTTCCATAAACAAGCGCTGTAGCGTCACATGTTCATGATTCAAGAGCACATTTTATTTATTAAAGAGAACAGTTAAAATATTTAAAATGTTGTCGATATATCGTCCATATGGCATTAATCTTATGTGAATCTCTTTCTGAGCTTCCTTATTTTCTGTTGGTTTAGTAAAAAAATATTTTGTTTGTAACCTAAGTAAGTGAATTATTTTCTATAGAAGATGACATATGAACCATCAGACTGGATGAGTTAACGCAAGAGTTAACAGAATGGGTATAGCACATTAATCTTTTGATCAGAGATGAAATGATTTTCATATTCTCATGGAAAGGCAGAAATATCTTGTCTTTCCTTCACTGAGTGCTTGTGTGAAGAAAATGAGCATTTTTGACCTTCTTTTGAAGGAAAATATTTCAAATATTTGAACTAGCACAAAGGTCAAGGACCGGATGAATGTTCAAAGTCCACCACGTGCAAAGTGGTTCGAATAATTTGATTAAGGTAATTTAGAAGACATAAGTATTTGCGAAAATACACAATGCAATCAATAAAATGAGTAAATTATGATGTTTTATTGATATTTAAGGTTTCTGAGATGTTTTAGAAATTTTATGCGTCTAGTTACAGTCTTGGCCAAAATTCCTTCAAATTTTGTAAAAAATAAGATCATTATTATTAAGATGAAATAAAAATACACTAAGCGCTGTCAAACATCTATATAAGTAATGTGAATAATGAGACAAGTTCTATGGACATCACGAACGATTTATTAGAACAGCAAACAATTTTATCAGACATCTGTAGAAAGATGTGTAATTCATAATTTCTTCTATCACAACAAAACCTTACCAAAACATATATAATGACAAAATATAACATCAATTTTTTATAAATAGCGTCTTTAACCTTATATCAGTTCATATTAAACATTCAGTACTTGGTTGGTTCTGCTCGTACTTTAATAACCTCCCCAAGGTGACGTGGCATGCTGTCGATGAGGTTATTGATGAAATCCGCCGTGATTTCACTTGTCACTAGAGGGTGCTGCAACTCAGCTACAGTAGCTGGTTTAGGGTCGTGGTTAGCAATTTGCCGGCTCAATTCTGCCCAAAGGTTCTCACTGGAATTACAATCT